GCAAGAGCTCACTCTATATAATGGACATATTATGGCTTCACAATGTAAGGGTCAGTACGATTCTTCGCTAACTTTCCTTAGCCAGCCCGAGACTGAAAAATTCTAAACACTTCCTCCTTACCCTTTTTGCATCAAATTCCGTAGGGTTTTCCCAGTAATCCCTGCCTTGTCCCATGATTGGATGAAAGTAGGGGGTATATGCACTACACATTTTGATCAATGAAAGTTTTATTTAAATGCACATGCTCATTTTATTACATAAAGTACTAATTCTATTGCAAACTTAGAAAAAAATGCTCAAAGATGATTTCCAGTCCATACTGTGCAGTCTCAGCACCCCAATGTTTGTGAGTCTCAGTTGATGAAATGCAAATCAATTATTTGTGACAAACCACGTAGTCCTGATCTTTGAGGCATTTTTCTTTGATTTTTACAGCTACGAAGTTGCTTCATCAAGTGATATCAGAAAGAACAAAGCATAAAGCTTTGCATCCATAATGGCAGTTGAAATGAAACTATTACTTCATGTAAGTAGTTGNATAATCTTTAACAAATTTCTCCTAGTTATTACCATAAGAAAGTGTGTGGATATCAGTGAGGAGAAATTGTATTTTGACACTTAAGGCCTTAAAGAGTTCAGAAATGTTTAGAGCATTTAGCTGTAGCAGTACATCTGTCAGCTACCTCTAAGCTAAGAATGGAAACCTATACCCCACTGTGGTATTAGTGTCAGGTAGATCTAATTATATCAGTAACCTCTCTAGGTTTTCATTGTAGTCAGACATATTGTCCGGCCTTCTAAGGATTTGACTGGACAAAACCTATTTTTGACTGGACATTGTCCGTTGACCGGGCGTTATTTGAAGCTTACACCATTTGCATTCCATGGGTCAATGACGGCAGATTAAAGGATGAATCTTGTTTTTATCTAACTGCTTCATTAATGGTTTATACAACAACAGAAGTTATCTCAGTTGCTGAAAGTGACCCATAATACAACTGTGACCATTATTTTACTTTCAGTGGTAATTTAATTGTTTTGAAAGCTAAATGATTATTTTACAGCTTTCCTACTGAAACTATAATACTTATAATTGATTTCTATAATATTATTTTAACACTCTTGTGTATACTCTGTACAGTTAGCAGTGTACAGTATACACTGTAACATAGTAACATAAGCCTCTCAGGTGTCATGAGATACTGCATGAATGTCATCATTCAGTGAGATGTTTAGAAGTGGGAATGTAATTTACAGTGCACCAGAACAAACAGCAATGTTAAATGACTGTTAACGAATCTAAAATTCTTAGCAAAAATTAACATTCTCAAAAGAGCAGTAATCAAAAAAGGAAATCCTAATTCTGGTTAAAAGAAAGGTTTACACCTGGGGCTCTTGCTTTTTCCTTCCAAATCAAACCTACATGTAGTACTAATGTTTTAAACAATAAACTTTGTACATGTACAGTAACTTGTTTTGTTTTAGGATGATCAAAGCAGCCCTTATTTAAAAGACTTAAAACTGAACCTTTTAACTGGCCAGGGGTTTCATTAAGGGCTGGACACCGGAAAAATTGACCAGCTGTGAGGGCGATTTTGCCTGGGGTTCCTGGTTTGACCATCTAATGGAAACTATTTCTATTTTTCAAATAGTTTTGCCTGCCTGTGAAAAGCAGTTGCCCTCCTGCTGAGAGCATTAATGAAACTCCTGTTTAACCCTTTGCTAACTACATTTAATGTAGTTAGCATATACATGTAACTGCATCTCCGCACAATATTAGAAAAGACTACAATTTCGGAATGTTTGATTTAAAGTTGAAGTACATTAATTTTAACCTTGAATGCCAAGTTGAATCTACATGAAGTTCCAAGGGACCTC